GGGCTCCCAGAACGGCTGGTGACAAAGTGGGAGAGGGTTGGAGCAGGGCCCAGCCTGTGCAGAGAGAAGCCCCCTGCCCCACATAGGTGTGTCCCCCAACAGGCAACACCGCCTCCCTCCCCCAGCTGATGATTGTACAGGAGTTAAGAGCCATCTGGGAAGAAAAACAGGTGCCGGATGTGTTCTGCAATCTCTTGTAGTGGGAGAGGCCCCCGCTCCCTGCTTCCTCTTTCTGGTCACAGCAGGTGACTGGACTGCTCATACAGTCAGCCCATGGGCCCACCGGTCCTTGCTCTTTTCATCCGTTTCCTCCCTCCCCCCTTTTGTCTGTAGCGCGTTATAGACAATCACTTTCATGCCAGGAGATTGAGACCCTGGGCTGTAACTTCTTTGAGAGGCGATGTCTTCTTATGTGTTTGTACAACATCTCGTCCAGGGCACAGTGCTCTTGGCTGGAGCTGTGGGGAGCTGCTGTACTATAACTGAAGAAATAATGGATCATCTGGAGGTGCATCAGCAGCTCATGCTTCAGTTCCTCAGTAAGATAGAAACTGAAGTGTGTGCCAATAGAGCATCCAGTAGAAGCGAGAGGTGAGTGGTGAGGGCCTCTGGGATCTGCCCCGAGTCTCAGAGTGGGACAAGACTTTTGGGATGGGAAGTTGTAAATTTTGCCCCCGAAATATGCATATGGGGGGTGAGTTTTGAAAGTATCATTGACTCATAGAAAATGAGGGTTGGAAGAGGCCTCGGAAGGTCACATCTAGTCCAACCCCTGCTCAAAGCAGGACCATCGCTGACTGGATCATCCCAGCCAAGGCTTTGTCTAGCCTGGTCTTGAAAACCTCCAAGGATGGAGACTCCAGCACCTCTCTGGGTAACCTATTCCAGTGTTTTACCACCCTACTCATGAGAAAATTCAGCCAAATATCTAACCTCAGCTTGCCTTGCTGCAACTTGAGACTGTTGCTCCTTGTTCGTGCCCCCACTGAGAACAGTCCGGTTCCATCCTCTTTCGAACCCTGTTCAGGTAGCTGAAGGCTGCTACTAAATCCCCTCTCAGTCTCCCCCTATCTAGACTAAATCAGCCCAGTTCCCTCAGCCTCTTCTCACACGTCCTGTCCCCCAGCCCCCAAACCATTTTTGTCACTCTCCACAGGACTCTTTAATTTGTCCACATCCTTTCTGTAGTGGGGGGCCCATAACTGGACACAGGACTCCAGATGTGGCCTCCCCAGTGCCGAATACAGGGGAAGAATCCCTTCCTTTGACCTACTGGCAACACATCTACCAACGCAGCCCAGGGTGCCATTGGCCTTCTTGGTAACAAGGGCACCCTGCTGGCTCATATTCAGCTGATTGTCCAATGTCACCTCCACGTCCTTCTCTGCAGAGGTGGTGCCCAGCCAGTCAGCCCCCAGCAAAATGAAGGCTGTTGATTCCTCTTTTCTTGTCTCATGTGACTGCCTGGAGCCTTTATCAGAGTACAGCACCGGGCACTGGGGAGGGCATCACACGGCTGGGAGACGGCACTGGGGCATCTGGCTGTGACTTCTGCTGCTGAAGACTCTGCCGTTCCCTGCTAGGACCAGCCCCAGTGCTTGTCCTCAGGTAGGCGGCACCTCTCCTGGCTCTTCACCTCTATTTGGAAACGTCTCTGTCTCTGGGCTCCCCGGGACCAGGAGGGACAAGGAAGTAGAAGCCTGTCGTGATTTGTCTTATCACCTGCCACGGCCCTGCCTGCTGCCTAGCTGAACCCATCTGGCCTTGCCTGCTCCAGCTATGGGGGAAATTTTTGGCTTGAATAGGGATTTCTGCCAGGATATATGTCTGATTTGGTCAGAAGAGAAATTGCTGTGAGCAGGGCAGGGCAGGGCTGGGCTCTCCAGACCAGGAAGGGAGACACACGGGTGTCCCCTGACTAGCCGGTCGCCTTGGGGTAGGGGCTCCCCCAGAGGGGTTGGGGACACGGGTTTGAGTGCTGCTTTGCCTGTTAGTGTCCTCCTGGGGGCCGCCTGGTTGCTCCGGGGCCGGGGGCCGCTCTCTCTCCTGTTCCACTTGGATGAATATGGAGCAGGCACCAGGTTCCCATGCCCTGTGGGTACCCGATCCCACAGGTTACTATAGGCACTGTGCCACTGCTGATACCCGCTTTGCAGCACTGTGCCAGGCAACCCTGGGGCACAGGCACGTTCTCTCTCTTCCAGAGGTCGTGGCTCAGCTAGGGAGAGAACGGGGGCAGGGAGGGGGCAGAGATTTTGGAGTTCTCCAGTTACCACTGAGGAAACCCCCTCCTTCCTCTGCCTCCAATTCAGCTGGGCAGTAGCATTTTAGGCTCCAAAGAGGGTTAAGGCATGGAGTGAGAGTGGCTCCACACTGCTGCAGGACTGGTGCTATGGGTTTATACCCAGCTCAACTCTGCGCTGGCCAATTTCACGCTGCTGGCATCACCCCCAACCCCAGCTGAGGACACTCCCAGCTGTCTCCCCCCCGATCTATCCCCTTTGTGTCAGGCATCGGAGCCTTGTGCCCAGGGACAACGGAGGAGTGGAACCTCCACTAGAGACGCACCATAACCCCAACCCCTCCGTTCCCAGTTCCTCTTCCAGTTCCCCTTTGGGACTGGGGTTGGCCTCGCAGAGCCCAATCCCTGCTCTTGCCCAGAGGAGCTTGCTGGCTCAGCTTGTCTTGCGCAAGCCACATTTCACAATCAGGGGCAGGAATCTCGGCCGCTAAGTGCCAGTTGGGGTGGGAATGGGGGGGCAGTTGGGAGCTAGGCAGGCCCCTCTCACCCACACCCTCCTTACCAGGTTGAGCCGGCTGCCTTGCCTCCTCCTGGCCTCCATTGTGGCGGCTCAGGGGCACCCGGACCCAACACTGGATGTGCACTGGGAGCTGTGGAAGAAGGCGTATGGCAAGCAGTACCGGCATCAGGTAGGGTGGGGGGACACAGTGTGGCAGGGACCGTCTTGCCCCAGACTGGGGATGGGCATGAGCTGACCCTGAGGAGTAACCCTGCCACCCCTACCCCACCACACACACACGCACACACACACACACACACACACACACCCTCAGCACTCTTGCAGCAAGGCGTTGCCATGTGCTGTTCCACACCTGCAACCACCGCCCAGAAGTGCCTGTATTTCAAGGGTGGTGACAGGCCCTGTGTTAAGGCAGCAATTGATTTCCCAGGAAAACTAGCTTGAGTGAGGCCTGTGAGAGCCAGGCCTCCCAGCTCCTTTTGGGGAGTAAAGCCACTGCAGAGCGTGGTTATGGGCAGGGCTTCCTCTGGGCGGACACGTGATGGGCTCTGATTGCAGGAGGAGGAAGGGGCCCGGCGCGCAACCTGGGAGCAGAACCTGCGGCTTGTGACACTGCACAATTTGGAGCACTCGCTGGGAATGCACTCCTATGAGCTGGGCATGAACCACCTGGGGGACATGGTAGGTGCCACGTCCAAGCCCCAGGCGTGTGAGGAGTAACCCCCACCCCCTGGGGTCCAGTTGTCCTAGAGTGTGACTGCGTCGGGGTGGTGGGTCGCATGGGTCCGGGCATGGAGAGGGATTTCCACCTCTGTGTCCTGATGGCTCCTGGATTTTGATGTGTCAAAGGCCCTTTTTTCACGGCCAAGAAAAATGCATCCAATGGAAGGCATGGCTCCAGTGTTTCTGAGATCCCATGACTCTGGCAGCTGGGACTGGGAGGGAGTTGGACCCACAAGGGCAGGTGCCCCCGTAGGGGGGTAAGAACTCCTTTGGGATCCAGCCTCACAGAGTTTGTACCCAGATTGCTCCAATGTCCAGCACCAGTCTGTGCACCAAAGGGTCTGTCCTTGTGAAGGGTAGGGTATACATGTGTTCCCAGGTCTGTGTGTGCGTGTAAACATGTGCATGTGTACACATGGGGGGGTGTTCTTGTGTTTATGGGTGTACATGTCAGTGTGTGAGGTTGTGTGTCCATGCGTATGTGGGGGGTGTTCACATGTATCTGCGTGTATATGTGGGGGCGTCTTCCTGTGTATGTATGTGCTCATGTTGATGTGTGTATGCACATGCATGGAGGAGGTGATCACACAGGAGTGTTCACGTGGCTGGGTGTGTTCCCACATGCGTTCTCTCCCCCAGACCAGCGAGGAGGTGGCTGCTTTGTTGACGGGGGCCAGAGTTCCTCCCCAGCCACACCGGAACGCCACGTACCGCCCGGCACCGGGCAGCCACCTGCCAGATGCCGTGGACTGGCGGGACAAAGGCTGCGTCACAGAAGTGAAGCACCAGGTAGGTGGATCCCGTGTTTCTCTCCTGATGTGGGCTTGAGGTTGCATATTTTCAGGAAATGGATGATGCTCACAGCAGCAGCACCCACGGCTGGAACCACATGGCTGCTGCAAAGGCTTCAGCCAGGGGCAATGGTTGCTGTATGCTTCTGTCACACTACGAATGCCCCATCCTGAGCACGTCTCTTGGGTTTCCCAGGGGCGATGCGGCTCCTGCTGGGCCTTCAGTGCCGTTGGGGCCCTGGAAGCTCAACTGAAGCTGAAGACTGGGAAGCTGGTGTCTCTGAGCACTCAGAACCTGGTTGACTGCACCACCACGTACGGGAATTATGGCTGTGCTGGTGGGTATATGACAAATGCCTTCCGGTATGTCATCGACAACAACGGCATCGATTCGGACAGCGCCTACCCCTACACTGCCCAGGTGGGGCCCGGCCCCGTGCCGGCATGGGTCAAGCAGAGACTAGCGGTGGATGTTTAAAGGCAGGATGGGACCCCTGCAATCCTCTCCTTGCAGAGGAAGAGGGTGGTGAGTAGGGTGGGTGGTTGGGAGCACCAAGGTGCCCTCCTTGCATCTGTTCCTTACCACTGCAGAATGGGCGGTGCCACTACGACGCAGCCACGCGTGCTGCCACCTGCTCCAGGTACTTTGATCTCCCATATGGCGATGAAGCAGCCCTGAAGGATGCCGTTGCCAACATTGGCCCCGTCTCGGTCATCATAGATGCGAGACTGCCTTCTTTCTACTTTTACAAATCAGGTGCGTTCTCTACCCCAGGACCTCAGTGCCACCCACGGCATTGAAAAGGCATGTTTGGGTTTCTTTGACTTGTGTCTTTTAAATTTAAAGAGGCAGCAGCTGCCATTTCATTCCCAGAGAGGCTGCAGCATGGTGTCAAGGCCACCCACACCTATGCTCTTCCTAGGGAGACTTTTCTTCTTTTCTGGTCCCTTTTCTGTTTTGGTCTCTCTGAATAAGCACAAAGTAAAAACCCTGAGAGTCGGAACGGGCAGTTTGCTCTGTGGGCCATGTTGGGGGAGATGGCAGGGGATGGCAGCCTTCAGCTGGGGTGGGGTGGATCTTACCTGGTTCTGTGCTGAGGGAGTTCTCCCCTGAATAACTCTGGGGCTTTTAATGTGGCCACATGAGCAGCCCACAGCAGAGGGGATCCGTGCCCCACGTTATGGGAGTCAGGATACTGCAGGGTGGGGGCTGGGGGGGATGGTGGAGCCTTTTGCTGCTGAGACTCAGGCTCAGCTTTGCTGTTTGGCTGTCGTTTCTCTCCAACAGCACTTGGGTGAGTGAACTGGGTGAGTTTTCTCTGGTGCCCATCCCACTAGCCAAGGTGGCAGCCCCAGCAAGTGGGGCAGGAACTGTCCTGAGGGTAAATTTGCCTCTGAGCCTGCTAGGGACCAGGGCAGGGGGCTATGGTGATGGGGCAGAGAATGGTGCTTCTGGTCAGACTGGGCGGGTTGGGTAAGGGAGAAGCTACTACTGTTTTTTTTCTTCCATAAATTCCCCAACTCCTTATTTGCAGGTGTCTATGATGATCCACGGTGCACCCACTATGTGAATCATGCCGTCCTTGTGGTCGGCTATGGCAGACTCAATGGACAGGACTACTGGCTTGTGAAGAACAGGTAATGAGAGTCTGTCACTGAACCATTTTTTTCCTAATCTCATTAATAATCCATCTCTGGCTCTGGCTGTTCAGAAAAACCGGAGAATTGCCAAACTGGGGCAGAGCAGTAGTGCGTGTAGCCCAGCGGTCCATCTACTGTTAAGCCTATTTCTGCGACAGTGGTTGCAATGGATGATATAGGCAGCCACCATTTACTGGGTGAGAAGAAACATCTCCAGCCATGAAAGCATCCATGAGTTTATCCTGTCCTTTGCTGAACCTGGCTGTGCTCTCTGCTTCCACCCCCTCCAATGACAATGAATTCCATAAGTTAACTACATGTTGGATCAAAAAGTTAGTTTTAAACCCGTCCACTACTAATTTCAGCAGGTGCCCTCTAGTTTCCTTATTTTTAGGAGGCAACGGTGTCTTTTGGTCCTTTTGGATTATTCATGTCTGTCTTCCAGCATTCTCCTGCACTGTAAAACACATTTGGTGCAGTGGCTGAAAAATAACTAAAAGAGGCCACGGGGGGAACATATTATCGAGAGAGAGATCTGGGAATCAGGTTGGATCTAGCTTGAACGGATCAGTTGGTTCCAGGGTACCTGTGGCTGAAGGACATGTTTTCCATGCCGATGAAGAGGAGTGATGTGTGCGTGTGACTGCACCAATGGACGTTCATTCAGCCTCTGTTAAGCGCATAAGGAACGGGTGTTTGGGGAACCACGTTTATGACAAACAGGGTTTATTTTGCTTCTACCTGATCCTGCTGTTTCTCTTTCCAAAAGCTGGGGTGTCAACTTCGGTGATAAAGGCTACATTCGCATGTCAAGGAACCATGGAAACCATTGTGGCATTGCCAGCTATGGCACCTATCCCCAAATATAGAAATGCTGTCTTCTTCAAGATGGACTCTTCAAATGCAGCTTGTTTAAATTATGTACCTTTGGCTTGAAGCTTTAATCTATTTCCTGTCATGAAAAGCACTGTCCCTGACTTGAAGAACAAGACCCTCCTGTCACCTCTGCCTGCTGGATCTGGACTGCACAGGAGAGATGAAAAATAAGTAGGGCTGGGCTGGGCTGGGTTTGTCAATATTTAGGCACTTATTTCTTGCTCTCCACTACACCTCCAGGGGTTTGGAGGTGGAATTT